TAGGGGGGGGGGGGGGGGGGGGAATGAAGACTTGTGACAACTGCATACAAGACACAAATATTATCTGCATAGTACAAGACCAGAATTTGAAAAGATCAGAAGCTTGCATTCAAGTCAAAGCTCACTATTATTAGTCCAATTTCCATTCTCATCCCCTTTGTTAACTCCGTGTAAAACAGAGCTCAGTTTTCTTCAGCGTGTAGAAGGAATACTGATGATTTTATATGCATTTGGAAATATTCCCAGAAGCAACCAAGTAATTGGCAGGAGTTAGGGGAAGTTACAAGTCCACCTGCCTGTTTAAGCTTGAAACAACTCTTAAGCCACATGCTGCTTGACCCATCTATTATCAAAATCCTGGTGCCAACCTCCCAACAGCTCCTCACTCTCCACATTTTCAGCGCTCTCTTTGGTGATTGCAAATCACTGTTTGGTAACCATCATATAAACCAGCAGATAAGCACTGTAAAAAAGAAGTGACTGACCAGCATACACATCTTTTTTAAAAATCCTCTAATTTTTTCCCCGTTGGTGTTAAGCAGGCACACAGTAAAACAAACAAAACACCGATCGGAAAATGGATTTTCTGTCTAGATGGCTTTAAAGAAGACTGAGAGATGAAAAAGCCTGAACCCTTGGCACAGGGAAAGACTGTTCAAAGTGAACACCCCTAGAGAATGAAACACCAGAGCGAAAGGAAGAATGGACAAGCAGATAAAGCTGTCAGCTCTGGCAGAGGGGAGAGGCTAAGAAGTTCCCAAACCCTAGACTAAAGCCCAGGATGGAAAGAATCAGTCAAAGCCAGGCTGTTTTGAACTTACATGCACCCTAGAAAAGGTCTGACAAAGATACTTTAACTAAAATAAAACCTGAAGGCTTGAATTTATTCATGAATAAGCCTTATTTCTTTTATGCACATTCACCAGTAAGAGTTTAAAGGACCAAAATTCAACGTTGCTACTTTAAAAAAAAAATAAACTGCTTAACTCACTGGGCATCCTAAGCAACACAGATACATTTTGGTGTCTGCTGGATGTGGCAGAATGAACACCTTTCTGACCTGCAGAAGCAAATCAAAACAACAGCTTGAAGTAGATTTGTTTTGAACCACAAAATGTTCTATGTGTATCTAAAAAAAACGAGCTGAAAACCCCCAAACCCTTCTGTGGCACAGCAATTGTTACATCAAAGGATTTTTCACACCCCTGACTACAACTGGTTCCCTTCAGAGGCTGCTCTGGATGCAAAATAGATATGCTGTGAAATAAAAGCTACTTTGCATCATAATGTTGCCATTATATATTAACATCTCGCTCTACTATTTATTTTCTTTTAATTTAGTGTAACTTGCTGCATACAGCCATAGAGACCTGATGGAGTTTATTCAGCTCTTGTGCTTCACTTTTTTCTCCACCAACTGCAAGTTAACTGATTTCAGTGGATATCTGAACACTGCCCCATTTCCTCTGGGCCTACCATGACATTCTGAAAGCATCCAAGTAACTTTGAATAAAGCACCACACAGAATTCACAGATCTCATTGATGGCAATACTTTTTATTAGAAAGAGTAACAAAGTGCTTCCCATAGGATTCACAGAGTTTTTAAGAAATACAATTTTTCCTTTTTATATGGGCAGTTTTGATGTGATGATGCTTCAGTGCAAACAGGGTTCTCCAAGGTTCTCCTGCAGAGCTTCTCTGTACACACTATTTCAACCATTTATGCATTTGGCAGGTGTGAAACAGTACTGAAGAGTCCATCCCTTAAAAAACAGAGGTTATGTAAAACACTTGCAATGTCACACTGACCAACAGGAACTATATTGTTTTTTGTTTAACACAGATTTAAGGGACATTCTTTCATACAGTCCTACACACAGATGCATAAAGGTGCTTTCAGTTCTATCAATAATAATAATATGCAACAACATAAATAACATTATAAATTTTTACTATATAGACAACAGTGAAATTGTCTCTTTTTTAAAAATAACCTCCTGCTTTTTTGGCTAGGGACATCCTTTGAACATTTGGTTCCTCCTTTGCCTTCCTACTAGGTCTGGATGGAGTAAAGAACACAAGCAAGGACTGCTCTCCCATTTCCCCCTCTCTTTTGGCACGCATTTATGATCAGATCTCTTTGGACACATATGCATCATTTCACCCCAATCCATTTTCCACTCTTTATGTCTGATTCTATCCCAGCTCCCCTTTTTCCTTAGCTCCACCTGCCTTCTCTGCAAATGAGAGGGAGATAGTACAGTAATAGCACAAAATTAGGACAGACACTTCAGTACAAACTGTTATATACAAGGGAATGTATGAAACCAAACAGGAGAGGAGGATTGTTCATGCGATGAATTCTTCTTTTTCCATTTTCAGCCAGCCTTACACCACTAGCACTGCTTTTTCAGGTTTTTAAAAATGCAAAACTTCTATAAAGGACAAGACATAGTTACCCTTAAGAGAAACCACCTAAGACATTTACTAAACACAATCTCAGTCCCAAAGCTACCCCACCTTTCCCCAGAGTACATGTACACAAACATGAACATCGAACAAACAACTGAATTCATGAGTGCAAGTCACAGTTCTGCTCATACTGAAAGGTCACATGCATATAAACCATGTCCTCACTGAAGTTGTTGGTCACACCCGTGGTTCACTGTTCCCCCTTCCTTATGGTACAGAGCAAAAATCATCACTTCAAGGAAATACCACATGCCATCTCACAGCACAGCATCTTTACACAAGAGAACTACTGCAACAAGGATATCACAGACACACTTTTTCCTATGGGATGAAAGGAATTAGATGAGATCCTTTGTACAGTAACTAGATTGTGGGAAGAAAGAGAGGATTTTTTTTTCCACTTTTAACAACAGGATGCTTTTGTAATACAGCCCTTATAGAGGAGAATATACATGACCCCATCATTCTATCTATAAATCTGCAAAGATGTAAACAGATGTTCTCCTTCTATGGGAACTGAAACAAACCCAAAGCTTACTCCTAGGCACTTTTGAGTATAGAGCTCCTGGCTCTGAGTTCAGCCTGTACTTGCTGTTTGCTTTGGGACTTCAAGTTGTGAACAACAAAATCCTCATACCCAGAAACACCTTTTGCTGTCCAATGTTTCCCTGCCACCAGCATAACTATTTAACCAGGTGCCAGTCAATACAGTTTGCCACCAAACTACACAGCTGGGCCTCAGTCCCAGTGCCCTGTAGTCCTGCTGGTTCAGCAGAGCCTCTTGAATCCACACGCAGGGTCATCTGCAGATCCAGAGATGGGACCTGCCTCCTCAGAAGAATACCACTTTCTCATTAGAAAAGCACAGAGACATGTCTAGAGAAGGCATTTCAGTACAAAAGATTCTAGAGGAGCTGGGTTTTCATGTTCACTGCTCTAACTAACAATTATTTCCCTAACAGGAAAGTCTGTAAGAACTGGGGCCAGGAGTCCTGGAAACAGAGCCGAATAGACAAAATGATCCATGCATAAAGCTGGACTTCCAATCCAGTTGCAGGACTGGGATTATAGAGAACCCTCTATAAAAAAGTCTTTGAGTAAGACAGCATCTTCAACTAATTTATTGTTGTAAAAACATTTAGGAAAAAAGTCACTGCAAAAAGTTAAGCAATTTTCTGTACATTTCACATCTACTGCATCTCTTTAAGCAAATTTCACTCTATCACAGATGAAGCCAATTTTGCAATTAAGTTTCTTGCTATAAGTAATGTACAGCAAATATTAAATTGGTAGCCTATTTAGCAGTTGTAGTAAAGTAGAAGTAGTAAAGATTCTGTCCTATTTTTCTGTTTCTCTTCATGAGAAAAGAACTTGGAAATACCCAGCATATCCCTGGGGTGGCTACTGGAGAGCTGAGTGAATATTGCACCCACTCCTGAATCTATATAACCTATTCTCTAGGTTGTGTGGCCCATGACAAATATAGGTAGGCATTTTTGCTGCCTAGTATGGAAAGCAACCAGTTAAGACTACTAAATAAAATGACCACCTGGCTTCAACTCCATTCTTGCCTTGCATGAGGAAACAGGTCCAGTTTGCTAAGGTGCACAAAGCTTTAGCTTGTGTGGGCCCACACTGCAGCAAATGTGGGAAGCATTGAGAGATCTGGTCTGGTATCTGGTTGTTCAGCCACTTCTCACACCACCCAGAGGAAGCAGACAACATTCTAGCACTGCTGTCTGGAATGGCAAGCATCCAACGCTGCAGCTGGAACTACCTACAAACTCCATGAATTATCCAAATATTTATCTTAAGAAGGAGGGCTGGGGGAAAGAGCAAGTACAATAAATAAAGAGAGAAAAATAGCAGCAGGAGCTGAGCACATTTCCAAAAAACAAGGCAGTGCTACATTAGGCCACCTGGCCAATATAGGACTGCAATTTCTCCCGAACAACAGCTGAAGTCTTGTGTGAAGTCACCAACATTAGTGTAAGAGCATTTTGCTGGTATGGTTTGTTTCCTGGGGGCTTACTATAAACTACACTAACCAAAGTTGCTTTTGTGTCTGGAAATTGTGTTCAACTTATGAATGTTTGTCCTTGCAGGTTTGTTACCAAACCTCCCTTGTGCAGATTTAGCTTTTCAGCAAAACATTAACAAATTATGCAGGTTGAGGGAACAAACAGCACATGAGCCCCCCCCAGCAGTGAAACATAACACTCACATCAAGTGTCCTTTTAAAACCAGACATGAAATTTTCACTATACAAAGCAAGAACATGGGGAGACAGGAGGGGAAATGAAAAGCCAATCCTTCGGCTAAGGCCCCAAGAGCGTAGAAAACAGTACATTTCACACCATTATACTACAAACATCTCCCTTCTTCCCACTAAAAGATGGAGTAGGGCATTGCTGATTTGGCTTAAAATATGATTTTAGTCCCCCTCATCAGAAGTTCAGCAATTTGAAGCATTGCAGCTTTTGATGTACCACCCATTTACTTAAAACACATAAATCCACTGACTTAATGACAGTGTTGAAATACAGAATCCAAATAGTACCTGTAAAATTTTACTGTTGTACATAAATAATGACAAGGCACAGGACAGCCACCAGTCCAAGAGCTTGTAGGCCAAGAAACCAGAGCATAACCCAGAAGAATATAATTATTACAGGTTCTACTATCCGTTCTCCAAAGTACATCCTTGTGAAGCCTATTCTGATAAGGCTTTTGTTTAGTTCTCCAAAGAGAGTCCCCATCTTTTTATAGTCATCTATCACAGGTTCCGTGGTGTGGTTCCTTTGCTCTTGGTGGACCTGCAGATGGAAGATAAAAAGAGGAAATATGTTGCACAATTTTATTATTGTGACTCTGAACAAGTTTCTCATCTGTTTCTACCTGAATGCATAAAACTAAGATACATATGCAATAAATCTACTCCTTAAATCAAGAGACTGAAAATGCTACATAGCTTGTGACCTTGGTACAATGCTAAGGATGTCATTTGTCCAAACCTGGGACATCTGAAGTGTTACTGCAAATATATGACAGCCTCCCTCCCCTCCAGATGCCACTCTAGAGGAGGTGTAAAGCTCTCCTGCAGGTATACATCTTACCTGTCTGTGCAATCTGCCTGTGGTTATCAGGGCAACCATTATGGAATGAGATGCCTCTAATTTCATGGGGGGAGGGGCGCTGAATTATTTCCAGAACTTCTCCAGAACAAGAATGATATCGAATTATTAAACATAAACTATGAAGTATTTTGCACTGAAGCCCAGGGAACTGAAGGGCTACTAGTCACTGCTGAAAGAAAGGCACTGGATCAGACCAGGAAAGTGACAAAAATCTATCCTGACATTGGTGTAGGAAGCCATGCAAGTCAGGCAAAGGAAGACAGACGCAAGGGCTGCACAGATGCAAAGTGCTGGTATAAAAAAGTGAAAGCAAGGAGAAACAAGTTCTGGACTTTTTGTGAAATAAAAAATGTCTGAGAAAATGCACAGGAAGGCAGAGGTCCATCTTTAAATGAGGATGCCACAGGTAAATATCACTGCAGAAAATACAAATATTTCAACATGTAAATTGTAACTAGATTAGAGCTTGAGATCCCATCTCTCTTACACATTGTCCAGAGATTCTTTGCACAAAATTTTATTGGTTTGTGTTTGGGTATGACAGGGCAAACATGACTTCAAGATGATGAACAGAAGTCTGCTAATGCTTCCATTAGGCAGCAGTGAAAACACATGCAGCAGGTACTCATAAATAATTCGGATGACTGATCAATAGGTCCTACAAATTGCTCACAAGCTGTATGTGCAATTACTCTACTCCCATATTCAAAGCAAACTTGTTCCATCTTCAAGGATGAATGTTATTCTGCATCCCCTGGTCCATGGCATGGTCTTGGTAGAGAAACAGAAATTCCCTTTCACACCAGTGCCAGGCTCTCCATTGGAGATAAAATAATAAAGTGAATTATCATTCTTACAGAAAAGCATCTAGCAAAGACCAAAGGAAGCCAATTCCAGACTTTAGGCCACCATGCAGAATCTGCTGGCTGAATGCTGTGGGTAAAGCTCTACAGAAGCTGCTGGAAAAAAAGCCCAACAAAACCCCAACAGTCCCTCAACTGAAAGTACCTGGACTTTTTTTTTTTTTTAATTTACTTATTCGTAAAAAGTCTGATTTAAGCTTCAGTACTGAATCCCACAAAGGGACAGGTGTAGCCTAAATAGTAATGTGTTTATAACTAGTACTCTGTTCACTCTGAGATTCTATGGAAGAGCCTGAGACAGAAGAACTGCAGTACTGGGGGTTATGTACAGGCAGACGCTCCTTTGCATCTTTTCAGCCTACTTTGCATGCCTGGGTTGTTTTCTCCCCCTGACTGGATTTCCTTCAGCATTTTGGCTTTAGCTGTATTTTAACTTTAACTTTATTTTAATTCATTTTAATTCAAAAAAACATGGACTCATCAATAATCCCAATGTTTCAAGATCAGTCTCTTCCAGAAAAAAGCAGAGCCTCTTGTGAAGTCTTGTAAACTCGGTGGGGCTGGAACACAATGGAACTCTTACCCCTCCATTCCCAAAGAGCACAGGGAAATAAGCACTCTTAGCCTATGTGTACACTGATCACAACAACAAGGAGAAAAGAGAAGGGATGTGCTGGGAAGGGAAAATACATTTATTTGCTTCCTGCATACAGAGACCAGAGGGAGCATGTGACGGATGATGGTGGAGGGGATCAGAGCACAGCTCACATCAAGCAGTGCAAAGACCACTTCTGAGAGAACAGCTGGGAAATCAATACCTTTTCTAGCCATGGCCAGGGCAACCAGGAGTGGGAAAACAGACACATCACTTCTTTGCCCCTGGCTTGTTAGTGGCACTCAGCAAGGTCTTGGAAGCCTTCACACAGAGCAAGGGCAGCACTGGCCAGGAGGTTGCCAGCAGGCATAGGTCTGCAAGCTCCTCTCGCAGCTCCCACTGGGCTAAGCAGGATTAACCACACGTGTCCATGCCAGCAGCATCTTTCCTGGTATGAGGCAGCTGCGGGACACACGATTGCAGCCCTGCTTGCTTTGATAAGCTAACAGCAAGAAGTTGCACACTGTCTCTTAAGGTAAACACAGTAAATTCTATGTCACTTAGGCTGTCCAGGTATTTTTGATTTTTTCATTACCCTACCCTCACCTTCTCAAACAAGAGTAGCTTCATGGATTCTAAGGCAAATACACACAGGGAGCTGCCAGGCACAGAGATTGAGAAGTGTATGTTTAATTACAGAACAAATGTCAAGTTATTTTTCCAAATATTTTTCAATAGCTTACAAAACCTTTCAAAATGATCATGGAAATTCTCAAGACTTCAAAGTCTGCTTCGGTTAATTCAGGTTAAGTATATCTTGCTTCAGGCAACTCAGCAAAAAGCAAGTGAAGCTGAGAACAGATCATCAGTCATAAAACACTGATGGCATATTTTTCTGTACTATTGCATAATATTTCACATGCTGGACAAATACATTTCTTCAGAGGTGTAGCTAAAACAGAACCTTTAGGGCAAATCCCAGTAATGTTACAATACCCCAAATTGCTAAGGAATAATAAATAAGCTTTAACATTGCAGCTGGAATTTCTCTCACTAACTTTCAGGGCAACAGTAAAATGGCATGCAGTCCCATATATGTGCCATAGCTCTCAAATCATAACCTCAGAACCAAATTCTTCTTCTTTTTTTCTGCCAAAAAATACTTTCTAAACTATTTTAGAAATTGGCTGTCTTCAGCGAACATACAGTTCCCAGCTGACTCTTTAATTTTTACTGAACTATTTTCATAGGGCTGTTTCCATACTCATCTTGCTGAATCAGCCTGAAGCTAGACAGACACTACCATAACAGACAAAATGTGGAGAGAGAAATGTACGCATTCCGACAGCTGCACCCCCTTGCCTTTGCAAACCCAGAGCTTCCTCTGTAAAAGCAGAAGTTTCTGTTTCAAAGTTTTAAAAATCAACAACCCAGCCTAGGCTTCACTATTTTAAGAATCCATTGTATATCAGGAGGGAGCAGAGGGAACTTCTTGACCTGCACTAGCCCCAGAGAAAACATGCTTTCCAGGCCCTTCCCAGTTGCTCTTCTTGTAATTAACAGGTGCCGTGCAGAGGGCACTCCCAGACTTCATCTGCTACAGTTCAGGAGGGAATGTAAGAGAAGGCCACTTCATCTGCATTCCTTTGCCTTTCCTCACTCTTTGAAACACAGGAGTGATGAAGAAACTCAGAGGGTCTGGGGAACAGCAGTGCAGCCAGAGATCTAGATGGATATAGATTAATGATACATGCCCAAAATATCTTCTGAAAAGAGAGGAACAGCAGCACTGCCTCCCAGACAAGAATTCTCTTCCCAACTTTCTCCAACTGGCTGAAAGACACCAAATATACACATATGGTATTATTCCTGAAGGAGAAAGGAGAACTAGACTTTCCTAAGTGATTAAGTCCAAACCAGGATGTATTAGAAATGCTAATTGTGTTTGTTTCCTAACTTAATGTTCCTTATCAAATTACTGTAATGAATTACTTCTTACTGTAATTTAAATTAATTTTCCATCAATATAATTTTATTTTAGATTTACGGGGATGATCTAGTCTGAATCTATCCTCTGTCAGGTTTGAAACCATTCCCTCTTGTCCTATCCCTACATGCTGCTGTAAAAGGTCCCTCTCCAACTCTCTCCTTCACCTCTCCAGGCTGAACAGCCCCAACTCCGTTAGCCTGTCTTAACAGAAGAGGTGCATCCTCATGGCCCTCTTCTGGATCCATTCCACCAGGTCCATGTCTCTCCTGTGCTGGGGGCTCCAGAGCTTGCGGCACTCCATACTCAATTTTGTATTTGGTTTCTAATTTTTTATTTTAAGTAATTTAAGTTAAAACCAGAGTTACCATACAGAACAGAAAGAGAAGCTTCTGATCTACTCCACTGCTCAACATGCACAAACAATGTACTTCACAGACCCATTGTTACCTGCAGGTTCCCATCAACCACCTCATTTCCTCTGGTCTTCTCAGATGTTTGATATTATAAAATTTCCCTCCCTATTCAAAATGGCACATTTTCATCAGCAAAGCCATGGTCTGCTGTCTCCCACTGTTTACTGGCAGAAAGTCAGAACTGGAAGATCCAAACTCTTAAAAACTTTTATACTGAAACCTGGAACTAAATTTTCCCCTCTGTTAAGGCCAAATAGCTTAGGGGCTTTGATGCTTCAAGGTGAACCATGACAGGCCCTCGAGCATATGATGCAGGATGTCACAAAATCACCTTTTTTAAGAATGAAACCCCACGAGAAGGTCACGAAGGAGCTACTAAGCACCAAGTTCGGTTTGTTTCCAGAGCAGCTAGTGCTCATACATCCCTAAAGTGCTTCGGAAAGAAAATCCCCCCATGTAATTGAATCTTTTCCTTGACTAGCTTTAAAACAGCAAAGAAGGCAAAGTCCTACTCATCCTACTGAACCCAACCTACATCCGGTTGTGGCTTTTCCAGTTATGTTTGTCATCAACACAACACACAGAACTCCCTGTGTTCTGACCACTAACTACCCTTGCTTATGGCAAACTTCCACACATTCACCAAAACTCACTGCTTCCTAAACTCAGGAAAACACATGGTATGTCACGAGTAGAGGCTGCTCCACGCCAGTCTGACAGGACAATCCTCTTGCTTACTCCGTTCCTATCAAAGGGTGCTCTGACCAGGTGATCAGTGAAACACGAGATCCCATCCGAACATCCTCCCTGCAGAAAAA